GGCTAATTAAGTAAGGCCTGCTGCCCTAGAGACTGCTCAGTGCGCTCCCTAGAGGAACTCAGTCCCGCCCCCAGCTGGGTTGATTTAGGGGACAGGAGGAGCATTCCCAGGGCCCGAAGCCTGCTGCTATTTCACAACAGACGAGCTTTTTCCCTTGTACACTGCAGATTTTCTTCTGTATTGAATGTGGTTTATTTCCGGCTCAGAAAATGGTTGCCGTGATGAAAATATTCCTTTGTTAGGAAGGAAGGTAGCTACCACATCATTTGCAAAGAACCATGAGCTCTGAGAAAAGCCACAGAAGTGGTTTCATTTAGGTGTCGGGGTTAGCTCTTGATTATGTGAACATTAAGATAAGATGACTTTATCTTTTCCTGCTTTAGGGTTGAAATCAAAGAGATTCTATGTTTTTATTGTAGGTCATAGTTACAGTGTACTGAGTTCTGCATGCTGCCTCAGTGTGTCATGAAACCTGAAATAGTAATAAGTTACTAAGAAAAGCAATAGTTTTCTAAAGCTGTGACATGGGTAATACAGAGTTGATAACTCAAATCCTAATAAAGCTCTTCATATCGTGAACTATAGAACACTAACTACTTTTTACAAAGCTGTATTTTTTTAGGGAAACTTAGAAGTGACATAAAGCTGATAAATGAGTAAAATAAGTTTTGCTGGATTTTTATCTATAATCATCTCTAGATCTCTGGAAATTGACAATTTATTATGCTGTGGTCATCTTCAAATATTTTTTAATTCCAAATATCTGAATTAATGATCCTTGTCTTCACAAATAAGTGCCCATTGGGCAACATCAATGGATTTTCTAAAAGTAATGTCAATGTCTTCTGTTAAATGTTATTTGAGTGCAATAAAATACAAAATGATTCTCTATATTGTCATTATTTTGGGAACTATATTAAGCATTTTTAATTGTGTTGCATAATAAAATCTATTCACTAGTTAGAAAATCAATGCATGCATTTTTGATGACTAAAATCACAAAAGGACTATCGTCAGCCACTTTTCTTAATCTATTTCTAGTAGGTAATGCTTATATAACACACACTGTTATGGACATTGCCAGGGGGCAGGATTAAAATGAAATAGTCCCTGCAGCCATCCTTTGTAGGTTTTTGTCCTGTACCTAGAAGTTGTGATTATTTCCCACCCTCCCCCGGCTGTCAGAATATTAATTTCATTGTGAGTGGTTGGAAGTGCAGAAAATGGTATGGAAAGTTCCCTTTTCTCTCCCTTTTCCAATCTTTATTCTCTAGACAGAAAAGGAGAACTAGACAAGTAAGGAAGAAGCTCTTGAGGTTCTAGAGAGGGTTGGTTTCCCCTCCAGCTTGTCCAGAAGAAATAAAAATTAAAGGTTTTAAGGGTAAGCAGACCCACTATTATGGAATGTACCTACTCTGCTGAGTATTTCTCATGTTAGGGAGTGGAGTTTTCTCAGCAGATGGATGTTATCCCTGCTTGCCGGTGAGTACAGCAAGGATTGGAGAGGTGGGAGCACCTGCTGGCATGTGGATACACATGGGGGTTCCAGAGTGAATTCTTGGGCAACAGGTGAAAGGTGGAAGCAATTGGAGGAAGGACAAAGAGCAGAGAGGAGGTCGGTGAAACTATAAAAGGTGAGCGTGATACCGCACAAGCTCAGGGCATGTGAGTAGAGAGAAAGAGGGAGACAGGAAAGATGGGACCTGAAGACTGGGCAGTGCGGGCGTGCAGGGAGAGTGCAGTGTCCCACGTCCAGTTTGGAGAGGGAACAGATGCCTGTGTTATGGGGCCCTTGTAAGGATGAGTGTGCCTGGGAGGAAGTTGGCTTAGAATGTTCGTTGTGTCCAAAAAGAACAGGTCAGTAGCCAGATCAGCACAGGAGTTGGCATATAACAAGGATGCAGTGTCTCTAACAAAAGTGATTGTAATGATTGCATGACAATTTTTAAAAGATCAATATTCAATTTCTTGAGGGGTTTACCTTGTTCTGATAAAACTATCTTGAAAGGAGAAAAGAAGAGTAATGTTAGAACAGGTAAAGAATGTGTGGCATGTAATGTTTGGATGTGAGTATTTAAACACTAGATAGGAGTGACAAGTGAGTTTGTGCTGCGGTAGGTTTGGGCTCAGCATATAGCTCCTCTAATAAAGGAACAGCTCATTATTGGTTTATACAGAGTTTGGAATTGGCTTTATTCTGGAGCCCTAGATAAGGTTGCTTAGCCACTATAAGTTTCTATGCCTCAATGTCCTTATTAGTAAAATTATAGCCAACTCTTAGGGCTGATGAGAAGTTTAAATGGGATAATATGTGTTAAGCGCTTAGAAAAATGCCTGGCATATAGTAAGTATGTCATAAGTTAGTTTCCTTTTGGCATAGGAAGGTCCGTAGGCGGTCTCCCAGAGAAGCATCATTAAAATAAAGGTAACACTTTATTCTTAGCTGGGCAGAATACTAGTCAGGTAGGCTGCATGCCACAGAACATGGCTTTACCTAAGCTGGATGTAAGCACTACAAACCAGACAGGTGAAGACATCTCCTCTGCGTATTTTCTCTGTGGCCAAACATGTTTCAGAGCTCAGCTTGTTGAAGTGTGGTGAGGGACAGAGGGAACACAGAATGGGAACAAGGCCCTGGGGCCTGGAGTGAGCTGGGTCTGGCCTGTCACCCCCACCTTTGGGACTGCATGGGAGGAGGAGGGAGGTGGTAGCCCCTGCTTCTCAGAGAGTGTCCAGCTTCACTGTCCCTCCAGGGTCATGGGAGGAAGTGAGTCCAGGGGACATGGAGGAGCTGGCCAGGGTCCTCTCACATGGGTTTGGCACCTTCCACTTCTGTTTGCACTTCAAACCACTCCCCTTTCCTCTGTGGGGAGCTCTGAACTCCCCCATCTACTTTATCTACTATGGTTGGAAACTTGCATTTTGTGCTTGAGTCTTCAAATCACATCAGCCAGGTGCACCTGCTGGTGACGTGGAGGGTTGTGGTCTTCCTGCACATGCTGCTGAGCCCAGGAGAAGGAGCTTCCAGACTGAGGCGTGTGATGCTGCATCCCTGATGTCTGCAGACTGCAGGCAAACACTAGGAGGGGCTCAGTTAATAGCCACTGAGTGGGATTGAACGATCTAGTTCTGCTATATAAAGAAGGAGGTTACAGTTACTAAGATCAGAAATTCTAGAACAGCAGAGATCAAGTCCTTCCTTTCTCCCTTCTCTTCTGTCCCTTCCTCCTTCTCCTTTCTTTTCTTTCTTTCTTTTTTTGAGACAGTCTCACTTTGTCATCCTAGATAGGGTGCTGTGGCATCAGAGCTCACAGCAACCTCAAACTCTTGAGCTCAAGTGATCCTCTTGCCTCAGCCTTCTGAGTAACTGGGACTACAGGCTTTGGTCACAATGCCCAGCTAGTTTTTAGAGATGGATCTCTTGCTCTCGCTGGTCTCGAACTCCTGACCTCAATCAATCTCCCACCTCGGCCTCCCAGAGCGCTAGGATTACAGGTATGCACCACCGCACCCGACCTCCTTTCCCTTTTAAAAAATATCCTGTATTTTGCTTATAGCACTGCCCAGGAGATGTGTGCTGCCAACTTGTGCAGCCTACTCTTTGCAGAAGAGTGGACCTGTACTTCTCCATCCCCTCATTTCCTTTTCACGGAGTGGTGCAGTGCTGAGGACATAGGCTGTGGAATCATAGCACCTTGACAGCATGGGCCCCTTTAATTAGTTGCTCAGTGTCAGCTCCCTCCTGTGCACAGAGAGGGAGGTAAGATTCGCCCACAGAGTGTGAGAGAACAAGAGGACCCATAGCCCCAGAGAAGCACACTAGATTGCAAATGCACTTCCCTTTTCTTCCTCTTACCTAAAATCTCAAAAGAGCAAAAATGCTTGAACTACAACAAAAGTCCCTCCCTGCATTAAATCCTGCCTGGATTTATTCTCACTTCCCCACATATAAGTGTTTTACATGAGTGACTGAGGGACACTGGGCTGCCCACGTCCGTGTTGGTGTACCATTGACCACCTCTTTGGCTGTACCCACGTCCTCTGGCATCCACTGTGGGGAAAGGACAGAGTCTATGATCTTTTAAATCAGTCTTCAAAACTCTATGTCGTGCCTAATGTGTGTGTGCGTGTGTTCTCAGAAATACCCAAAGACTAGATAAGTACCTACTGGGGCTATAATCAAGGGGTCTACCTTGAAAATGAACTAGATTCTAAAGTACATCAAACAGTAGGCTTGATACGGAATCACAGGTGCAGAAGTGGGGGCGTAAACACAGGGTCATCTCTTATGCTCGTGTCCATGAGAGGGCGGGGTGTTCTTTGATGGGTCCATGCTCTTAGTGGGTGTCGTCACTGGGCTCCTAACCCCTTTGCCAGGGAGACGCTGACTGGGATTAACCTAATTGGGGCTGACACAGGTGAGCTCCTGGGTTGATCCTGGGCTTCTCAGCAAGTGAGCTAATGCTGAACACCTGGGCTCCGGCACCGCCCCTGCCCCAGGGCAGCATCTGTGTGTGCAGTGATATATCCTTAGGGTGGTGGGTGGTGAGACAGTATTCCAAGTGCTGTGACTTACTGCGTTCCTTTAAAGCATACGTGTCAATTATAAAAATCCTATGGTTTTAGGGGGCAATAAAAATAGTGAACAATCTTTGATGATGGGTTCTCCTCACATGTTCACCCCTTATATCCGTGAAGACATTTGGGGTTGGTGGCCATCCCCACTCTAGCCACCTTCTCTTACAGAAAAGGAACACTTAGCCTGGTACCCCCCCCGCCCCCCCCCCAGTCACTCTCAGTGACTTTTATAAGTAAATGAGCATAAGTCTTGATATTTTGTAATGAGTTTTATGTGTAAAGAAATCTAGGAAAATTGAAATGTATGCCCAGTTATATCTTTCTTAAATTATATTTGTTTGAAGTCATTTAAATATTATCCTGCCTTTTGAGTTATTGAATGGAGACTTACATGGTACTTATGTTTTGTCTTTAATTTTCAGAAACAAATAGAAAAATGGATGATCCTGAACCAAAAGAGAAAGGTGAGATTGTCAAATAAATAGCTTTTAAATAATATGATTTTATTTTATATCACTAATTAAAAGAAATTGCCATGGGGTTTATTATTTCAATGATTTTATTAATAAACACTTAATGTTTTTCACAAACATTAAAAGTTAAGGCTCAGAGAGATCACCTGGTTTTTAGTTCTAGTTTTGTCATTCACTACATGTGTGCCCTTGGGAGAATTACCTAACCTTTGTTCCTCGGTTTCCTCTTTTGTACCTCGGTTTCCTCTTTTGAACCACAGGAATAATAAAGAGTTCCAACTTCATAAGGCTGTGTCTCTATAATAGTAATTAATTAAAAAATAATAAAGTGGAAGAAAGCAATGTTTAACACAGGGAAAGCACTTAGGAAATATTAAATATCATTTATTGTTGATATGTTGACATCTGTGCTCGGTAATAGGAACCCAAAGATTACTAGAACATGATATCTTTTTGCAAGGGACTCGGATTTATTAGAAAGACAGATAAGTAAATAAAGTTATAGCCTACAGAAAGAATTATCTCTGCCTTCCAAAAGTTTATTACAGATTCATTCTAATAGATTTAATAACTCATAGTATTTCAGTTAAGTTCTCATGGATGTTCCTTTAACTTACTCAGAGTGAGAAACTATTTTTCATGTCAAAAAATTATATGGATGATCATAAAAGTAGTGTTATATTTTTAGTATTGATTGAATGATAAGGTCTTTAATGGTTAAATGTTATTACAGTTTCAGGGATTAATTTAATTTGTGGTGATGAAAATGGTATCTACACTGGAATCTACCTGTACACAGAACACCCAAGGTGTGACCTAGTGTGTAAATAACACCTTGTAAATGTGTGGAGTTGCTCACCTTGGGCTGTAATTCACAACCCACAGACTGAGAATTAGGCACCTGCCTCATGCAATTTTTTTTTCCTAACTAGTTGTTTTAAATTATTGTTAAAGTAATACAAGGAAATAGTTTAAGAAGTTAAGCCTCAGAATGCAAAGCGACAGTCTCTATCCCACCATTCCCTATCCCTGAGTTCCACTTCCTAAATTTCTTTTAGCTATTTCCTTTTCGTACTTATCTTGATTCTGTCGTTTTCTCCTTAATACTGGAAACTGTTGGTTGACTTTGTTTAGTAGATGGTTGGGATTAGTGCCATCATACTTAGTTCAACCCTTCGCTGCCTCATTTCCCGATCTTCCAAATATATCTTTGATGTCACTGTAGTAGACAGTGTGACAAGCTGAGGAGGAGACAGGAGGCAGAAAGGAGCTGTCAGCAGCTTTTGGTAGCTGATCACTTCCTCTGCCTCAAACCCTCCCTCTCTTGGCTGCTGGGCAGCACATTCTTTTGGTTTCTCTCTTGCTCTCTGCGCTTGCTTCTTAGGCTATTTGGATGGATCTGTCCCGTCCCCCAGAATGTTAAACATTGGTGTGCTCCAGGCCTCAGTCTTCACAGTATTCTCCACTTGTGCACACTCACTTAGGTGATTTCAGCTAATCTCGTTTTTTTTTTTTTTGCAGTTTTTTGGTCGGGGCTGGGTTGGAACCCGCCACCTCTGGCATATGGGGCTGGTGCCCTACTCCTTTGAGCCACAGGTGCCACCCGCTAATCTGGTTTTCAGTTCCTCTCCATTTGACATAGATTGCCAAATTTACCCACAGCCTGGGTCTCTGTTCTGAGCTGCAGACTGGTGTGGCCAGTTGCCTATGAGGTGTCTATGTGGTAATCCCAAATGGTTTTCTCATAATCACTTCAAACCTAACAGGTCTCAAACTGGACTCCTGATTTATCCCAAACTCAAAATGCACTCATCCTACACACCTTCTCTTCCATGCCTCCCTGTCATCCCCTCAGCAAATCTTGTTCGAATCCCTTCACTCAGAATCCAACTACTTCCTTCCACTTCCACCCCCTACTACCCCGTCCAAGCCTCCACTGTCTCTTGCCTGGATTATTCCAGCAGCCTGCTAATGAGTCTTCCTGTGTCCACTCTTGGGTCTTTATAATCTTTCTCAATATGTGTACAGTAGCCACAGTGAAACCTAAGTCATATCATGTTGCTGAGATCCCTCCAACATTGTCATCTGTTCTTTAGAGTAAAAGCAAAGTCTTTTGCAGGGGTTTACAAGGCCTCACACAATCCATTCTCCCTCCTTTTCTATAGGTTTCCTCTCCAACCTCATGTCCTGTGATTCTCTCTGCTCCTTCTATTCCAGGGACAGTGGCTTACATGCCAAGCACACCCACACCCACAAGGCCTGCGGCTTTACTCCTCCTCCTCTGCTGCCCTCAGTGAGCCTCCCTGGCCCTGGTTTTATTTAAGACCACACCCCCTTACGCAGTGGTTCTCAAGTTTCCTAATGCTGCGATGTATTTTCATTGTTACAAAGGGGTCGCAGCCCACAGGTTGAGAACTGCTGCCTTACAGCTGTGTCCTCGGTCCTTGTTTTATTTTCTCCACTGCACTGTCATCATATGATAAACTGGCATTTTCATTCTTTAGTGTTTATTATCTGAACCTCCCACTGAAATGACATTCCCATGAAGACACATTTCTCTTCGTTTTGCTCACTGGTTCTAGAATTATGCTTGGTACACAGTAGGTGCCCAGTAGCATTGGTTGAATGAATTTATATTATGTTTTAATTAATAAGAATCAATATCAAAAGATGTTAAAGACTATAAAATCCAAAGTGAAGGCCTAAGAGCCAGAACCCAGATGGAAATCCCAGGATGGAAATCTGTGGAAGAGCCAAAACTCGAGAGGGAGGTTCTGGGCAGGAAATGGCATTTTTGCTGTTCCTCAAGAAAACAGCACGAGTCAGTGTGTCAGAGCCTGGTAGACCCACAGGGAAAAGAAAATCTTTATTTAAAAACACTTTAACCTTAAATTTTTTCATCTAGAAATGAAGATAGTGATTCTTAAGCCTCACAGAGGATACATCATAGCAGAAAGATAAAGTAACGTATATAAATAATGATTAACAAAAATGTGTATATTGCCATAATATTCTGAAATAAAAAAAAATAACTCAATCTGGTACTGTTATTATCCAAATCTCAGCCTACTACTTTTATTATCCAAATATCTGGACTTTAGGTTGCTCTGATTAGCAATTAAATTAGATGATTTGGAGATCTAACATGGGTGTGCTGATTTTTTATTTTGTTAGAATACAACTTCTTAAAAAAATCCAATCTACTATCATAGTTATTTACAAAAGCTAAGGTCTTGTCAGTTTCCAAAGTAAGGCATGTATAATTTAAAAATAAAGGACACTTTTAAAAATATTGAATACATGTAGCTTTATGGGAAAATCACAAATATGATTCACATCATTGTTTGCCTTAGACCAATGAACATTTTGTTATGTGGCTGCATGGCAGAGACCACTGTTACGGTACACGGAGGCTGAGGCCCTGCCTCTCCACGGGGAGAATGCATTGTGAGGCCTTGCAAACCACTGCAGGGCACTGAGGCTGTGTCCCAGCTCCACGTTCCCTCAAGTACCTCATGATCCCGGATTCCTGAGTGTCACAGAGAAGGGGAAAAAAGAAGCCCTTTTTGTCCTTTACTCATATTTCCTTTTTCTATGTTGGCTAGGGAGATGAGCATTTTAAAGGAAAATTCTGGTTTTCTGTTTTTAAAAGATAGGGTTTTGGTATGTTGCCCAGGCTGGAGTAGATCTCCTAGGCTTGAGGGGCCTCCTGCTGTAGCATCCCAGGTAGCTGGGACTATAGGTAGATACCACTGTGCCTGGCTAAGACCCTGGTTTTCTTAACAGCGCCCCATCTTTCCCCTCCCTCCTACATGTTTTTAAGACTTGAGTTATATATCAGGTTCAAGTCAACCCTCCAAATCACTGCATTCCCATTAAAATTAAAGTCATTAATACAGTTTACAAAACCGAAATTTTAATGTCTTAAAAAGACATGAGTGTATTTCTAAGTCTCATAAATGGGGCCACTTTAGTGGCTCATGTAGGACCCAGTTTCTCTCTTGCCATTCTGCCATCCAGAGTTCATTAACCTTCTGCTCCAGAAGGGCTGTCCTAAGTGCCAGTCACTCATCTGCATCCAGATAACAGGAAGGGGGCTGGAGAAGAGCATTTAACTGACAGAATTTGTTAAAGCTGCAGCTCAGGGTTCTAGTTCTAAGGAAGAAGGGCCTAGTGAATATCGGGAGGAAGCCGTAATTAGTTTTAGAGGCAGAATTTCCTCCTTTTGTTACCAAAATGTATTCAACTGCCATATTTTAGGAACACGGCTACTGTTTTATGCTAAAAAGCTTGACAGACATTCAGAATATGTATTTTTTATAACACATTTACCAAAAGAAGAAAGCCCACAGATTCCTTCATCCGCATCCCCTAAAATATTTGCATGCCTAGGACATGGCAGGATTGTTCTAGACAAGTGGGCAAGATGAGAGCAAAAGAGACAGGGTCCCTGCCCTGGGGGAGCTCACACCTCAGCGGGGAGAACAGCAGTACCCACAAAAAACAAGCAGACAAAGCAGGAGAGGGTGCTGCGGGAGAAGGGGGGCTGAATCAGGAAAGTTCTCTCAGTTATTAGAGACGCGATCCAGGCCGCTGTGTGGAGACTGAGGACACTTTGAGCCGGAAAGTTTGTGCGAAAGTCCTGAGACTCTGAAGCACCTTGAACAAGCCAAGAGTGAATGCAAAACAGTTACAGAAGGTCTGGGAGCAGATGGTTGCAGGAACCAGAACTGTTTTCCATGCAGTGGGTCGCCACCTCCAGCCCGCCCATGTCTCTGTACCAAGCAGAGTCCTTGCCCATTCACCCATTGGCTGTTTGCTTCTAGGAGGTCGCCCGCTGTGCTTCCTCCCAAGGAGAGGGTTGGGAGGCCAGATGGTGGCCATGGTTTATTGCAGATACACAAGAACCCCAGCAGCCCTGCAGCTCACAAGGCAGTCCCGAGCCCCACGTGGGGAGGAGCTTCCAGTCAGCCTCAGCCACTGTGCACTGC